AGACTAGGAAGATGCAGTTCTCCTTCATTAGTGTTGTTACTGATGAACAAAGAGGGATAAATATTTTGTAACAACACGCCTGATTTTCTCTTTGACCTTTATCGGGCACTGCTTCATTCATGCATGTTTATATTCTGTGAATATCTGAGCAACTGAATTCTATGAAATCAATTCAAAAGCAGTGAAAATGTTTTTTGAAACAGGTTTGAAAAACTTGTATGTTGATGTGTTAGTGTCAGACTGTCTCCACTCTGAGCTGCCTTGTGATCTGAACAGCAGCAGCTGAGCAGTGCACTTGAGACTTAAATATTGTCAGATTTGTTCTGTAATATAAAATTTGTAGACTTCACTGTTGCTCAGAGAATCATAAGAAAATATTTTTAATTCTCAATAAACAATGTTCTTTGTAAATAATTTGGTCATTTCTGCAAATGAATAACATCAAGAAATTCCATGGTTGAAGAATGCCCACCTGACTGACGACTTCAGTCAAGGGCTCAGATCCATGGTGAGGTCCCATCAGTGCTCCAAGGAAACAGGTTATTTTAGAGATTCATTTTAATGTAAATTGTTTTTCTGTAGCAATATAAAATATTAAAACAAAGTTTTCTTCAGATGACTCTGTCATGTAATGTCACCATTTGGTTTGACTTTACACACAAATACGTTTCTTTTTTTATAAGGTAGTGTTAGAACACTAATGAAATAATGTCAACTGACTGTAATTAAGTATGTTCTCCGGACAGTTGGAGTTTAGCAAGCAGTATATATATATTTATATTATATATATAATATATATATTATAATATTAATATATATTATAATATATATTAACAAGCTAGTTATATCACAGGAAGCTATATTTGAAGACAAATCCTGTCAGCATTTCTACAAGTAATCTTTTGATTCACTCAGTACTAAAAAAGCTATTATAATAGTATTTGTCAAAAAGGGTATAACACCATAAAATAATAGAAGATAGAAACAGAATCTGTTTTTTGAGACACATTTAAAGAAATTTAAATGGAAATTAAAGTGCATGCAAAGCAACAGTTATAAAATAGAACCAGAGTGCCATACTCTTTTCTCTTGCTACAGACTTGGGAAAACAGATTTTGTTATTAGATAGACGTATGTTTCTCTGACACCTATGTCTTCAGATTCGGTACTGAAAATGAAAAGGAGAGGGGCAAGGAATCATAGAATCATAGAATGCTTAAGGTTGGAAGGGACCTGTAGAGATCATCTAGTCCAACCCCCCTGCACACGCAGGGACACCTAGAGCACGTGGCACAGGACTGCGTCCAAGGAAGCTGCTCTTCCAAAAATATGTTCTGAGCAAAAAAAAATCTCAGATTGGATTCTAATTTCCTGTGTTTCCATCTTTTCAGGATATTCTCTTGCAGCTATCTGCTAAGCATCTGCACTGATAATCTGTGTTTGTTCAGCTGCAGATATCTTTTGTCATCAATGTTTTATGTGACTAATATTTCCTTCTAGCTATTATTAAAATATTGGATTGTAAATTTAATAATTATTGTTTACAGGCTAAAAAAAAAACCACCACCAAGTGTACCAAAAAGGGATTATGCTTCAGGTAAGACTGGATTAATAGAAATTTACTCACAGATATAGAGTTTATTTGATGCCTATATGCATAAGATTAGCTCAGCTGTGCATTTCCTCACAATTTCCTGTTGGCAAGTATGCTGTTACCAACAACTCTGAAGAAAAGCATGAGCCAGTAGCAGCTGCTCCTTCAGAATCAATATTACCAGAATCAATATTTACCATTTGCTCTTTGGAGGATTCACCTCTTGTCCCTTTCTGACAGAAACTGTGAAGTTAAAGTGAAAATAAATATGGGGAAAAAATGAATAAATTAATCAGCATACTATTAAAGGTCAGATTCACATGACATAGTTAATTGACATAATGAATTTTCTTAAAGTACAGGTCGAACCATATACAGCGCTGCCCACAGACTTGTTCATGTCCATGTGCATGTTTTGTTAAGAAAGCAGTACAAAACACTGAAGTAGAAGAGGGCACTTTCTGGAAGTTATCAGCCAACCATTCAGTGGTTCTTGCTGCCGCTCTACATTAGCCACCTACCCTGGAACTTTTAACAGACAAAAAAGGAACTGAGGAGCCTGAAGCTGACAACCAGCTTCTTTGCATGGAAATTGTTACCCCTATTGAAAGCTGAGATGCGTCAGCATGATACACTCTACTGTTCAGACCAGACACAATTTACCATTTTATACAGCTTTTACAACAGCTCTACATTGGCTTATGGAAAACAAATAAGCAGGGGAGTTTACTATTCTGTCAAAACCAGATGTGTTTGTCTCCTGTGAAAGAAAATTTCACTATCTTTATTTAACTAAATATGATAGAATTTCTTGAATCTGTGCTTAAAATGAACATTTATGCTATTTCATTTCCTAAAATAACTCTACTGTTTGGTTTAGAACATGCAGACAATGAAGAGGAACAATGGTCAGATGATTTTGTAAGTATATTTTTGGGGGGTGGTAGGAAGTTACCATAGCAACAAGTTCACTACAAACAATAATAATGAATGTTTATTTTTGAATTGCCTACTTGTGCCTGAACTTATACCCCTGAAATCATGCCCTGTTTGTGACATCAGTGGCTGCTTGTAAATAAATAAAGAAATAAATAAAAAATTTAAGAACTTCACTTTTTTGCATTCAACAGGAACTTCTTAAAGAGTTTGTGCTTTAATAGGAAAGGAAGAAGTGGCGGGACATATAAGGAGGTTTGGTTAGAGTGAGGAAGGACGTGTCCTGTTAAGAAAAACAAGCTGTTGGTCCGTAATTTGAAGACATAGCTGTTAGTATGGCAAAGACTTCTTGGGGGTGCCAAGGAGAAGGGGCCAGGAAAGGACCTGGAGCAGAAGTGAAGCGGGGAGAGGCCGAGTTCCTACCTATTTGGAGAGGGAACACTGAGGAGGAGCGTTATTTGTCTTTTCGGTGTATTTTTGTAGTTTTGTTAATTGTCCTACTGCAAGGATATTTGAATGTCATACCCTGCTATGAAGCCATAAGTGTGTTATGAAGAGAGAAGTAGGAAATTCTGTCTTTCTAGGACAGCGATTATGAAAATCCAGATGACCACTCTGACTCCGAGATGTACATGGTCCCCAGCGAAGAGACCACTGATGACAGCTACGAACCACCT